AATTAATTGGAGCCTTAAGCCAAGAACCTCGTCACCATTTTGCCAAGAACCTCGTCACCATTATCAGTCATTATTCTCAATATTATTATCAATAATAATAATAATGTTATCATTATTACTAAAGTATTATTATTATTATTACTCTCAATATTATTATTATTATTAAATATTATTGCCTTGTACTTTATAATTGAATATAGATCGGGCACTCTCACAACATATTGTTGAAATACAGTTACTGTATAAATGAATAATAATTATCTGCGCGATTACAAAGCCTGCCCTCTTTCGACTATGTAATTTATTTTTAGAACAGAGGGAATATCCAGAATGCATTATATTGAAAGAAATACCACCACTACAACTACGGTTAATGTTTCTTTTCGTTGTTGATAATCGCAGCAAAATCCCGCTTAAATAGCAAAGGTCTACCTAGTAAGTAAGTATATCTTCATCCATGTTAAACACATATAATATATTTACTAACTGAAATTCTCGTACGCCTGGACTGGACCATATTATAGAGAGCATAATAGAGAGAGGTGGGACACGCCCCCATCTTCTATTTTCATATTTTGCACATGTTTTTTTCATCCTAATAGTGAACATCTTAATTTTTCAGGTAGTATAAAAGATATAGAAAAACCTACTTGGATAATCAAATTAAAATGATGAATTGGTTCAAACCCAAGTACCAGAGGTAAGATTGAACTTTTATCAAGGGCAGCGCCCACACCCCCCCCCCCACACACTTTTTTTCGGGAAGTGCAAGAAAAAAGAAATAATTGATCGCCCAGAACGCCTCAGATATTACTTTCGGGCGTCTAGAAAACAAAAATATCGTGGACTTACTAGGGCGGTGTCAGTTTCTTCAACCCCCCCCCCCCCCCCCCCCCCCCACTTTCAGACACCTCTGGATTCGCCCCTGATTATCCAGATTAAAACGAATTTAGAGAATATATATAATATTCTTTGTTTATGTATATGGCAGATAACAGAAGACTTAATTGTAATGTAATACAAAATAAGACTAATGAATGTCCAATAACAAGTAGTTAAAGTTAACTCAATTGCCGATAAAGAGTTACTCAATTACTGATAAAGAGTTTACACAATTACCGATAAAACATTCATTCACCTTTATATCCATTGAAATTTTTAATTTTTTAGGGTTCCATCCTCAGAAAACTATGATTTTGGAGTGATTCCGAAAAGGCGAGGCAATCGAAAACAATGGACAGCGGCTTTTTTCATCATGATCTTTGTTCTCCATTATTACTGGACAGTATCTTCAATGCAACCCGAAACGTCTAAAACAAAACTCTATGGTTGTCTAAACAGGTCAGATGTGAATAATGAAGTTGCCTATAACATTCACATGTATCACTATATCTTCGCGTTGGTCATATCATTCTGTTGCGCCATAATCGGTAAAGCCATCCAATGCTTCTGTGTCTTCACCGAGGAAATTCGCCACATTGATAGTCGCCATAACAATTCATATTGGTTGGCATTCAAGAGCTGCTTCCAGGTGTTCTTCACCAAGGCGTCGTCTTTAGGAGTTGGTGTGATGGTTTTTGGTGTGATTTTAATGAGGATAACTTATGAGCAACTATTTGATCATCACGTTGCCCACTTCCTTTACTGGCCTTCATTCATATCATCGGTTGGCGTTGCAATGATTACGAACTACATGTTTGGCTTTAAGGTTTGTAGAAAAGTATAAAGCCGTGTTCAGACTAGCACACGTTTTATTTGACAAAAAAAACTGTTGTCATATAGTCATAATGTGCCTATTATGGTCATGATGTGATGTCATCATGTCTATATTTAGGTATGTCACATAGGCCTATTTGACAGTCATGGTTGTGAAAATATACCGGTATCGTGCACACTCAGGGAAGGCATATCGATTCAATATTTCGGTTTTGTTTTTTAAATCATCAATTGCTGATGATGATCTAATAAAGAGCAAAATTTTGAATCAATATTGTTTAAATTTATTTTGAATGATATGTCACTTAATATATTTATTCTTCTATTATCTAATGCACAAAAGTGCTAAAGTTTTTTGTATATAACAAGATGAATCTTTTTGAGCGGCATTATACTAGACTCCTTTTAATGATTATCCTGACCATTTTTTTAAATTTTGATGATGTATATGATTTATTGTTCTGGTAATCAGGATATGTTTAAACTTACAGACATTATCTGTTGTTGAATTAAGCGAGATTCATGAATCCACTAATACAAATGTTGCCCAGGGCCTAGCATGGAGCTACTTCACTGGATACCTGAAGATCATCCTACCACGTAAGTTTTTTCTAAATCAGTCGTACGACAATCCAACTCCACTCCCTATGAGTGTTAAGGCCAACTCAGGCAGCGTCGTACGACACAGCCCGACGCGATTTGTTGTCGTGTCGGGTCTGTAAGTTAAACGCAGACGCGATGGTGTACGTCGGGGGCAGTCGCGTCGTAGAATATTAAACATGTTGAATATTTCTCATGACGGCTTAGACTGTCCCCGACGATAAATCCGGTCGGGCTGCGATGACCGACGCTGTCTGAGTTGGCCTTTATAAGACGTGACTCTTTCTCTGTTGCATGCGCATCGTGGCGGCCGTAGTGTGAGCCCGACTTAAGATGTTCAAGCAAAGAGTGTGTAGTATTCAAAGAGATCCGACTGCTCTGATTTTGTATGCAGGCAATGAAACGTCCAAAAAGTACTGCCACGTAATAAGGTGCGCCCTATTTGAATTCGAATAGAGTTCGCTCGAAAATCAACTTTTGAAGGACACGTCCCTTCGTGTCAGTACTTTTTGAAATAGGATTGCATTTCAACGAAACCCCGATAGTCGGACATCTTGAATTTCTATACTCTGTAGCGCAATGCTCATTTTTTCTTCCTGCACCCACAGGGTTCCTTACTCAAAACCAGATTAAATTCCATAATGTACCATTATGCAAATTGTATTCAGTTTTATATTCTTTTAAACCCATCAACTGAATTTCAATCCATGTTTTTCCATGTTTATTAGGAACCTGGATCTGCGGAAATCCTTGTTACTTTTTTCCTTCAATATTATTGCAATCTCTCTTTTTGTTTGCCCTCTTTATTCTCTGCACTGGATTGTACTGGACATGATTAAATAATGTAGTAAAAAGTGAATGATACCAGTATACTGTATCTTTTCTAAGATCTGAAAGACAAAATAAATGAAGACACTAGATGGAAAAAAGAACTGGAAGATAAAAACTTGCCATGCATAGTATTTGCCATTGTGCCGCTCAACTGTAAAATTCCTGCTAAACTTGGAGATGATGAAGTCAAACATGAAGGAATTACATACGTTAGTAATCTGCCAAAGTTGGAGATTGATCGAGCGGGAATAAAAAAACGTGTGTATTTCAACTCTGTGTACCAAATTCAAAATAGCAAAGGCCATGTAAGTATCAATGATTTTTCCGGTAGGTTTTAAGCAAAGATCTTATAAACACAAGATAGCGTTCTCCGCGATTTATGCGTAACAAATAGAAGCGTCGGTCAAGGTTCAAAAGTTTCCCATTTAGCAAGAGGGCGCCATTCATGCGCTATTACCGAAGAGAAAAAGTAATCAGTTTTGGAAGAGGGCGTCCTATCTATTGCCATGGATCTGAGATGGTTCCTGCTCTGCTGTTCACAGGATAATAGAACAGTCTAATAATAGAAATAAATTACATTTTATCCTTGGAAATGAAAATAACCACTTTTATGATAAGAATATCAATTTCTTAATTGACAAATTTTGCAAATCTTTAGCCAAAAGTCTGTGGAAAAGGAGATGTGACTTATTTAAATGTTTGTAGCTTAAGTTTTATCTGTGCTGTTGTGTAATTACAGTATTATATTTGATTTTTTAAGCATTAAGCTTGTGTAATAATTCCTGTGCGTGCATACTCATACTGTATGTAGAGCATAAACGCTTTCTTTTAATTCTAATTTAATTTAATTTAAATTTTGTTGCACGACTTTTCAAACCAGTCATTCTTGTTTTGTTTGTAGTTTATTTCAAGTGTTTAATTTGATTGGTGGGTGGGCAATAATGTTATTTGAGTTATCTGTAAATTTCTCATAATTAAGAATTTAATTTTTTTTTATTTCTGTTGCTTTGTTCTTTTCTGGATGCACCGTTAGAATTTGTCTAACGTGTGCCACTGTTATAAAAGTGTTATCCAATAAATATTGTATTGTATTGTACCCTAAGGTAAAGTCGCGCGGTGTACTGTATGGTCAGAGCGGTCAAGGGTCAAAAGTTTCCAATTTACCAAAGGCGCCATTCATGCCTTATTACAGAATTTGCACTCGTAAATCGCGGAGAACGCTATCTTGTGTTTATAAGATCTTTGGTTTTAAGCCAGACACTCACTACGCCGAACGATATGGTCATACGACCGTCGGTGAGCGACCCAACACCGTCTGCTGATTGTCAGTGGCAATCTGAACGGATCCTCATTAAAAAGACGATCCGTTGGGTCTTCGCGTGTGTTTTTTGCCGCGTTTCCGAGCTCATTCTTCTGATATTAATGTTCTTTGGGTGCATTAACAGAGAATCTGAATGTTTGGATCCAAAATCCTGCTAAACTGATCAGAAAATCTGAGCAGTATATAAGAATGGGGACGTTTCGTTCAGCACATGGAAAACCAGTGAATGCAGATTACAACAAAATACAAATTAAGATTTTCCACAGTCATGAACGAATTTATTTGATTTCATTAGTGCATGGTTTGATTTACATTTTTGAAGCTCCTGTGCACAACATATGAAGAATTATAATATTTAGTTCTTTTTTTTAAATGTGCTGTGTTTTTCAGCAATATCCGTTTGAGTCCATTATCCAAGATTTCAGTTCGAAAGATCTGCCTATTTGTGTACTCAGTACGAGAAGATACCCTTATGTTTCATCTAGGCTGGACAGCTTACATAATGACAAAACGCTCGGTGTTTTTCCGAAATTCAATGGTTATTTTCACTTATTTAAAATGTTATTTTAATATAAACTTTTTTTCAAATTTCAGACAATTCACGCCATCTGTGAATATGTGACGGTCGTTGATACGTTGTTCCAGATGCCCTGGTCTGATGCTATCGACCCCAAGACGCGCGAAGAACAATGTCGCCTGCTTGTCAGAATTCTGGAGGAATTGATTGATAATGATAGTGACTGTAGAAACCGGTGCAAGATAGTAGTGTTGTCAGGTACTGGAGTGCAAAACAAACATAAGCACATAAACTGCCAAATTAATCAATTGCAATTTATTAGGGACTACCTTTGGGATTTGGCACTCTTTTTCCGGGCTCCACCTTCTAAATAAACACTCTGTGTGATAGGTTGATGAGTTTGATTTGATACTTCAGCAGTTGTTTGGCAGTTTTCGCCGCACGACGGCAACATTAACGTTAACGGATGACGTCATAATTTATTCATCTTGTGTTGCGGAGTATGTTAATTTTAGGATTTTACATGCTCGACGTAAGTTAGTTACAGGTAATGAAATGCAGTTACCAAGATAACAATTGAAATACATAAAAAATATGACTTCATTATCAAGCACACTCCTAAAATCTTAAAAACCATACAGTAGTGATTATTGTGTTATTTGTTAGAACATCATCATTAATCATTTCTACTGCAATAATGCAAAAACAAAATATTGATCAATATGATATTCTAATAAAGAATGAAATATTGATTCAATATAACTTCCCTGAGTCGTTTTGGGGCATGCATGATATTGTCTTGATTTTTAGAATGACAATAATTACATTTTCAAGGATATAACCTGTCTCTTATACACATCTAGATGGGTATAAGAGACAGGTAGAAACCGGTGCAAGATAGTAGGGTTGTCAGGTACTGGAGTGCAAAACAAACATAAACACATAAACTGCCAAATTAATCAATTGCAATTTATTAGGGACTACCTTTGGGATTTGGCACTCTTTTTCCTGGCTCCACCTTCTAAATAAACACTCTGTGTGATAGGTTGATAAGTTTGATTTGATACTTCAGCAGTTGTTTGGCAGTTTTCGCCGCACGACGGCAACATTAACATTAACGGATGACGTCATAATTTATTCATCTTGCGTTGCGGAGTATGTTAATTTTAGGATTGTACGTGCTCGACGTAAGTTAGTTACAGGTTTGCGCATGCTTATTTTGACTTGTTTACAAAAGGGACAGAGCTATCGCGCTGCATGACGGGTACTAACGTTAAAGTCAAGGTTAAAGTCGTGCGGCGAAAACTACCTATCTTCTGTGACATTGTGCCATGGTGCTTCTTTCTATATTAGGACCCTTCGATGTGCTTCTTTTGGGGGTGAACTCCTTTTCCTTAAAGCCAAATTCCGGAAGAAAAAATATTTGTATGTACAACTGATTTTTCTTGGGAATGGTTAGTGAGATACAGATTTTTGAATATTTAAAAAGTGGGTGGGGGGGGGGAAGGCGGAGATATTATAACCACTATTTTTCCCCAGTTTTTAAATATTCAAAATCTGTTTCTAGTTATTACCCTTCTGAGATTTTCTTCCTTACTTCCTTCCCTACTGAGGCTGGATTTAAACTAAAATAAAGGTATGGAATAACTCCTTGAAATTAACAGTGTATTCAAATATCCTGTAAATTTGCAAAGTTACAATAACATCTAATACATTACAATATCATATTTAAATATTTTGTCTTGCAGGTGAAGACAGGCCTCTTTTGAGAGATGTCCTTTATGACAAGATCCAAGAACCCAAAATGGACATTTCTGAATAAGAATTTATGATAGAAAATTCAACTGGTTTACTGTACTTTCCTGTTTTTTTTTTTGTGTGTGTGTATCCCATTGAGATATCAACAGTTGTGTTTCTATGTGGTGGGCGGGGAGTAGGTGTTCTTTTTATTAGTGCATTATTAACACTGAATAATTCTACTCAAACACCATTTCATATGAAAAGAAAAGTAAAAATATCACAGTGCCACATATTTTTGCCATAGAAAACTATGCTTATATATACCATTGAACTAAACATTTTATTCAAAAGTTCATATTTTATGTCAGAGATAAAATAAGCATTTTAAACTTAATATATGATCCTGTAAGCTTGTACATATTCCTGTGTATTATTCACTTAATAGTATTCAGTCAATGGTGAGAGCAAATATTCAAGAACACAGCCAAGTTAAAGACGTGTTTATGGCAAGTTAAATCATAGAGAAAAGAAGCAGCCTAGTGTTTCTTGTTCTATGGTTCAATTATGAATATATTGTCTATATAAAGGAACAATAGGGTTTTAATTGCATTGTATATACACAGTATTCCGCTTTTAATTATTGAATTGTTAAAACTTTATTTTCATTCTTGTACCAAAGTCGTTTTTTACTGTATTTAATATAAATTTATAATCTTAAGTTTAATATATTGTTGAATAACGAATATTAAACTTAATATATGATCCTGTAAGCTTGTACATGTTCCCGTGTATTATTCACTTAATAGTATTCAGTCAAAGGTGAGAGCAAATATTCAAGAACACAGCCGTGTTTATGGCCGCAAGTGAAATCATAGAGCAAAGAAGCAGTGTTTTTTGTTCTATGGTTCAATTATAAATATATTGTCTATATACAGGAACAACAGGGTTTTAATTGCATTGTATATACACAGTATTCAGATTTTGATTATTGAATTGTTAAAACTTTATTTTCATTCTTGCGGTACTAAAATAGTTTTTTTACTGTATTCAATGTAAATTTATCTTAAGTATATTTATGTTTCTGATAAACAAATTAAGTGTTCAATAAAACAAGGACTAATTTGTAATTTTAAAAGCTCTAAACTTTCAGCATTCTGTAATGATACTGTGTTTTAAAAGTATTAAAATTCCTTTCAGCGTAAGTTTGAAAATTGTTTGTGAAGTTTGTATTATTTTTTTGTCATTTAATAATTACAGTAATATGGTCCAGAATGGACCTTAATTTACTTTGTAAATTTATATTGCAAGCAGTATGGCAATTAAGAAAAAAATTAAAGAAGCAAGGAGGAGGCACTGTTGTTGTACTACTCCATGCACAGTTGTGTTTCTGGTGGTATAACACGTTGACTGTGGGACCAACCCACAAACGGCGTTCGCCGAATTATAATGCTCTGGTCCGTAACAGCCAGGCAGCAAACCACAGCCGCCCTCTACCGACAATGTTTTTTTTAATGCAAAAAAGGGAATTTCCAAAATGATGTCATTGTATAGTATTTACCAGGGAAGTTTTAGGATCAGGTTTACAATCGATCGTCTATGGTAGGATTTTTACATGAATAATGTGCATAATTCAAAGTGTGTTAAGTAGTTTTAGAGAATCACAAGAACGTCCTAAATAACTAGTAATGACTACAGTAAACTAGTAAAGTCTACAGTAACAACTAACTAGACAGTCGTAAGCTAGCTTATAGACCCAGCTTAGAAGACTCCCTTGGACTCTCTAGGCTAGCTAGCCCATCCAGGGACCTAGCTAGGCCAATCCCAACCAGGAAGAAGCTAGTCTCTCTAGACCTTAGAAAGTAAACATACAAGCCTCCTAGGCGTTGTAGTCTCTGGTAGTAGTAGGCAAATACGCTAAAAACTCTCACCGAGAGGCACTATATAGTTTTTGTCTAAATTTAGTTTGGCGAAATGCTTGCATTTGTTTTAAGCCATATGGTATTTTGATATTTCATTACAAAATATATTTTCTTATCACAGACATTAACACGAGCCCACATCAATATTCAAGATACAGAAAGCCAAATTGAAATGGGGTAAGTCTTTAGAAATTATGTTATTTAACTGAACTAATCTGGGACTAATCTTTTTTTTTACATTATTTTGACTACAGGGGTTTTGGGTTGCCTGCTACACTTCAGTTCATGATTATTTTGTATAAAAAAAATGAAATTTTGTTTTCCCCTCCACATCAAATGTATACCCCACTATTTAATTTGTAAGTGTATGTTGGATGTTGAAACAAACTTTCTCCGTTACAGTATGTTTAAGAAATGTGTTGTATATTTTGGATTTCTTTATTTTGTTTATAGGGATCGTTCATCGAATAAAAATTATGCGTTTGGAGAAATCCCAAAAAAGCGAGGCACATTGGCCGGGTGGACAGCAGGTGTCCTCATCATGATTTTCGCTGGATATTATGGCTGGAGAGTGAATTCAAAGCAACCAATCAGAATTAAAAGAACACTTTATTCTTGTCTCAACCAGTCTGCTAATAATGAAACAGTTCCATTTGATATCCACATGTATCATTATTTGTTCTCTTTGTTGATCATTCTTTGGGGCGCCATCTTCGGAAAATTTACCCAGTGCTTTTGCAGGTTTGTTGAGGAATTGCGCCATCTTGAGAGTCGCCATAGCAATTCATACTTTAAGACTATCCAGAGCTGCTTCCAGGTGTTCTTCACGAAGGCATTCGTGGGAGGAGTAGGCATGATGTTCATTGCCATGTACTTCATGTGGTTTGCTCATGAATCCCTCTTTGATCATCATGTGGACCACATCGTGTATTGGCCAATGTTCATATCCTCAGTTGGCGTTAGCCTGATTACAAATTACATGTTAGGTTTCAAGGTTTGTAGAAATTTTAAATGAGGTTGCACTTAAACAATATAAACAATCTCACATTCCAGCAAAAACAATAACTTATTTATTTATTTATTTTTTTTTTATATTGTAGATCTCAGGGGTGGATTTTTTTTGGGTGGGGTTGGCTCCCCTTTTAGAAAGTTAAAAAGAAGGGGAAAAAAAAGAAACAATTTATGGCCCAAAAGCCTCAGAGGTTGAAATTTTACCGGATGTTTAGAAAACAACAATTTCCCAGTGGAATTCCCCCAGACCCCACTAGGATAGGGTTATCTCTTATTCCCCCATCACTTTTGGACATCATCCACCCCTGGGTCACATTATTCTACTAAGTTCATGCTAATTTTACTATATAAAATATCTGAAATGTGCATATTTCGTATATATAAAGTGCAGTGGCGGACCCAGTAATTTGAAATGGGGGGGGGGGCAGAAAGGCAGTTTTACAGATGAAGGGTCTTCACTTCCTCAGCCCCACATGGTTTGGGCTTAAGCACAGTGTGACATTTTTTTTTGTTTATTACACCTCTAGGAAACAGGGTAGGGCACTCTCAGATATACTGTATAATTTGAATGTTAATTTTATTCCCATTATTTTTTTTTAGTTCTCAAAAATTTGGCAGGGTGTGTCCCTCCTCCCCACCCACTTTGAATTTCACCTTCTAGTGAGCATATTAAAATCCTGATTTTCCTACAGACACTGTCGGAAGTTGAGCTAAGTTTGGTTCAGGAATCCAATAACACAAATGTTGCGCAAGGCATGGGGTGGAGCTACTTCACTGGATACTTGAGGATCATCCTACCAAGTAACTAAATTTATTTTTATTATTATTATGAACGTCTATACTGTATAAAGACTACATTGAGTTTACTTTGAACAACAAGGGGTACAGTATGTGTCTACTCCCAAATCCCCAAAAATATGTTTGCACAGGGGGTAAAAAGACTGCACTCAAGAAGTTCAACATAAATTCATTCCCTCAGCTCGAGAGCCCTCATTTTCTCATTATGCCCCCAACCCAATCAGCACTTAGTACACTATGTTAATACAATATTAAGTCAACTACCATGTCATCATATTACCAGATGTCTTAAGTTTCCCGGAGGTCGCGGGAGTCTCCCAGAAATCGGGAAGGCCTCCCACACTCCCGCAAGTGGAAAGAATCTCCTGGAAACTAACCCATCTCTCGCAAATTCATAAATATTTGCTTGGCTTTACTACTTTAATTGCGAAAAAAATTGTTTTTACACATAGTGAGCATTCAGTACATTTCCACGTCAGGTAGAGCAAAAATTATACCTATACTTGATTCTCCTGATGCAAATCAAGTTATTGTCTATTCCATCACGACAATAACAGTTAGTATTATGAAATATGATATTAATTAAATATCATGTACTAACGAAAATAAAACATATTTTCTAAGAACTGAAAGAGACTATAAGTCGGGACCCTAAATGGAAGAAAGAGATGGAAGCTGAAAACTTGCCATGCAAGTTTTTTGCCATTGTGCCACTCAACTGTAAAATTCCTGCTAAACTTGGAGAGGATGAAGTCAAACATAAAGGGATTACATTTGAGGGCAAGCTACCGACATTGTATGTTGATCGAGCCGGTGTTAAAGATCGACCGTATGTCAACTCTGTGTACAAAATCCAAGATGGTCATGGTCGTGTAAGTAACAAGGATGATGTGCTTTACTGACATTTATGAATGAGTCTGAATTTTTATAGAGTAACCAAATGTAATTAAATCTTTCAAGTGATACCATACATCATGTTTGAAATGTTTTATAATCAACTAATTGATCGGTATATGTAATGTGTTGATTCATTTTTACCTCTACCAAGGAGGTTAAGCATCCCTGTTTGTCAGGGATATTGACATCTGAAACTACAGACTTATCAGTGGCGGCTCTAGGATTTTCTGGGGGGGCTAAGTTGTCCGACAGGGGGACTTGAGCTCGCAGGCTCGAGCTGGGAGAAGGGGTTCCCCCTCCCAAATGAGATTTTGTTTAAGAATATCAACCTCTAGATGGCCGAAAATGGCACTCTCAGACTGTGACAGACATGTGTTGGCTTGGTGTGGGCCTATTTTTATAGTATTTTATGGTCTGACTGCCCGACGAGCTCTGTCCGGCGGGGGGGATTGACCTGTCCGGTGGGGGGATTGACCTGTCCGGTGGGGGGCGTAAGCCCCCCTGGCACCCCGTTGGCGCCGCCACTGAGACTTATGCTAGTATTTTGGCTAATAGGCTTCTTCATAAGACTTCTATGAATGGATACCTAGTTTGAAGCAAGAAACCAAGTTTTCTTTACCCAGTACTGCTCGTCTATTTTATTTGTGTGGGAAACTTTTAACGAAGGTAAAAATGAATCAACACATTACATGACTACCTGTTCTCACTTTTGAAATTTTATTCAAGTTTTCATGAATTGATTCTCAACTTTAAAAATTTCTTTTAGTCATTTTACGCCATCTGCGAGTATGTAACAATCATTGATACGTTGTTCCAAATGCCATTGTCTGATGCTATCGACCAGAAGACACGTGAAGAACAATGCCGTCTACTGGTCCGGATTCTAGAGGAGCTGATTTATAATGACGAGAAGTGCAGACACAAGTGTAAAATAGTGATGTTGTCAGGTATTATAAAGCAAATATTTTTTGCCTTCTTATGCAAATGTCCTGTTTGCTGATAATGGTGTTTTTGAATAAAAATTATATTTTGTACTGTTAGCAGCCCCATCTGCGAAAAATTTCCAAAATTAAGAGGTCTTTATTTCTTAAATAATATTTTTCAATTTAATTACTAAGCTGTTTACTATCTGCTAAACAAGCCCAAGTTTGCTAAGGTTGCTCTTTGCACATTTTAACCATCATTGAACATCATTTTAACATTGAATAATGTTTATGTAGTGGCACTATAATAATGCTGTAGGACAGCTGCCTTCCTCACTACAGCAAAGTTTTCAACCTCTGATCTCAATGTTGAATGCCTGCATCACAAAGTTTGCACCAATCTAAACATCTAATAAGATTTTTATTGAACTTTTTCAGGTGAAGACCGCCCTCTTTTGAGAGATGCTATTATTGATAAGATCCATGAATCCAAGGTGGATATTCCCGAATAGTAATGATGAAGTTAAACTGGATTACAGTGCTGTAATTTCATACTGGGGATTGCGAGAGATTTTGTCCCACATTACTTTTTTATTTTAGGATAGTCAGATTCCCCTTTGTTTGAGCCCTTGTCGTTTCATAATGCTGAACATATGAAAAATATTGAGGAATTGTTAAAGGAAATCAGCGGTTAATGCTGTCATAAACAAATAAAAGTAATTGAAATTCATATTGTTTATAAATGTTAAGGATTGCCAATTCTGTAAACAGTGATGGTGTGTGTGCTAATCTGTCTGAATGTGTTATAGTGCGTACAATTTTTATTAAGTGATAATCGATGACATCTCAAAATTACCAGAAAATACTTCCATGTTTAATATATTTTTTTTTTAATCTTTAAAAACATATACTATTTATTTTAATAAAGAAGGTTTTTACAATAAATTTTTGAAACATGTTTCAGGGAATTCACTAGGGGTGGGGATGGAGGAGGCAAATGTTTGTGGCTCAGCAATTTAGACAGGGTATTTTTAAACTGGTTTTCTACTTTATATACTGCATTGATTACAGAACTACTAAAGAATACCTTATTAATATTTTAATCTTTTTTCCTATTATGATTGACTTGTTTATAACGTTTTAATTGTTTTTTTACTTGTTATTGCAATAACACTACTTTGTGTTTCTTTTTAAGTGTGGACAGAATTTTCATAGGAAAACCACCAAACACTTCTTTGGTATTTTTCCCATGCTATTTTTTTATTTAATGTATTTTTAATTGAAATTTAAATAAGAAAATATACAGTATTAGTTACATTTGTTCTCATTCTATATAAACCTTAACAGCCATCTAGACAAAGTTCCAGTCTCTAAATTTAATCAGCGAAAAAGTGGATCTATTTTAGCACCAATGGCGTTCCATAATACTTATTTGCATGGCGTTCAATAGTATTGTATTGTTCTGGGATTTGACTCCCATCCAAATTAAACAACGTAACAAAAACAGACGCTGAATTTATAACAATACAAAATTCTATATGAATACATTGCTCAATTGTAGCATACCAGTTTTATTCAGACCTGATGCTTTGGAAAAAAATCATCATCTTTATAGTGTAGTGTAATATTAGGACATAATTTTGCATGGAAAAGTCTACAACAATCAAAATTTAAAAAGTATTTGTAAAGTAGTAACATGTATCTTATTTGATTTTGTTTGTTTTTTTCGTCTACTGAATTTAAGGAATCGTTGATCGGTTACAGCATGTTATAAATAATAAAAGAAGTGGTGGACAAATTGAAATAATATTTTACTCTTGTTTTTTTTGCTTTCATTAGCTACTTATTTAATACTTTTTTCAGAGCTGGTTTTAAACTGCTAAATCGCGCGGCAGCACCCGTATCTGAAATCTGAGGATATGGGAGCAAGTTAGGGGCAAATAAAATTTTAGGATGAAATATGCTGAGGTGGTGTCAAGATTCTCCCGACGAGAGCAAAGTGGGTGTGGTCGGGCGTCATTCAAAATGTTTCGAAAGTGGTCCAGGGACGAAGCCCCGAAAAATATGACAATTATTTTTATGAGGCTTATTTAATCGATTTTGTGGATAGGTAATATATCTCCGACAAATGGTGGTTTTTCTTTTCTTTTCTTTTTTTTTTGTGGGGGGAAGAAAATTATTGGGGGAGAGGGAAAATTCCACTTCCCCATCTCCGCCACTGCAATATTAAGAAAAGGAATCCTATTTTACATGTACATGTAACATGTTTTCTCATGGTCAATTATATTGCAGGATGTTGTGAAGTGAAGCAGATAACTGTGAGTGTGACAGAGACATGCCGAATCTTAAGTGTCAATCAATCGAGGCTTTAAATTTATAAAAACCAAAATGTTGTAAAAGCGTTGCAATGGGTTGAAGTCATGGTCAATTTGTATAAATCTAAAAACTGATTTCTTTTTCCTGCTAAAGTTTTCCCTAAGTATCATATGACACAATAGGCCTATCATTTAATTAATAAAAAGGCAAACTTAAACATGTTAATCAAATATAATCTTTTTCACCTTTGGCTAAATCAAACACCATATATAAATGTTTCCATTTTCTTCTATTTATTCTCATTCGTCTTTCCTTGTGATTTTGTTTTTCCAGGATTGTCGTTTTGTTGTGATTATCGTTTTGTTATAATTGTTGTTTACGATTATCGTTTCATTATAATTATCGACAGTTGCGTCACAGAGTTTGTGGGGCCCTGGCGGTGACTATGGGGCATTTTTTGCAATGCTGATCAGGTCACCCAGGAAGCTGAATGCAGAGTTGCTTATCAGAACATCATCAGGAATCATTACAATGTGCAAATCATTTTTGATGACTACCGTGCACGGTAGAGTCTTTTGGGATTAATGAGTGCAAAGTGAGCCATGGCTGGGGACAGGGACACACAAAAGGTCCCTGGTCGGAGTGCAGGGGGCCCGGCAAAAATACACAATATATACGATATCGTGGTAAACCAATTTGAGTGGCTTCTATAATATTTAATCATTATATTATATCCAGACCAAATCAAGCAACATGGACACAATCAAAAAACTTATACAGGCTTGTCGAGGAGCCGCCAGCCGGGATCTGCAGCTAAAAAGCCTTTGAAAATCCTGTAGTTCTGAATAACTAGAAAACTATATTGACAAGTCCTCTTAATAGCTGAACGATTAATCACGAACCCAGGTAGCAAAGAATGGCTTTTGGCCAGCCGTAAAACGTAGTTCAACGAACTTAAAAAAAACGTGCGCGTCGATATTTCAATTCGCATTAGAAATTGGTTTTCAAAAAGTATTTTCGTAAGGCATTATACCGTGGGGCCCTACTTAATATCATTGAATGGAAATCAAATTGAATGAAACAAGAAAGATAGGCCTACGAGTGTTGTGGATTCAAGTTTAAAAAAATCTTGATTGCTGTGAAGTGAAGCATGGATGGTGTTAGCGGGATGTAAATTATCTTCAACGATGCATAAAAACTAAACAACATTTAACAAAAGGTATATACTGGGCCTATATTCATAATTTCAAAAAGCATTTTATAGTGCATTGCACCTTAAGAGTAAGACCATGAACGGTAAAGAACTTTGACCTGAGAAATAATTATGTATTTTGTGCCATGGAGAAATGACTGCCGGTACAGACCATAATGACACTTTTTTTTTTATAAGAACACATTTTATAAGAACAATGAGGCTGACAATGCTTAAAAATTAAGAACAAAATAAGAACAAATTGAGGATCAGATAAAATGTCAAATGAAATTTTTATTTAAAAAAAAAACCCCAAATCTTATAGGCCTATTTGTACCTTAAGTTCAGTAGGTGTGATTTCATAATACTCTCTATTCTACAGTACAGTAGGTGTACCTCCTGTCAGTTGGAGCCATTTTTAGCGGAGCCTTTTTTACTCGGGCCATTTTTTCCAGGCCTTTTTTCAGGAGCAATTATTCAACTTATGCCTACATTCCGGTACAGTACAATGAATACTGTAATACTCTGAAATTCACAAAGTGCGTAAAATAAAAACAAAAGAACCGAAGAACATTTTGAGCCTGAAATCTTCCAAAAAATAAGAACACTGAGCCTGGGCAAAATTTTACTGGTTCTTATATAAAAAAAAGTGTATAAGATTTGCTTGCTCTTAACAGATGTTTTAATTAGACCTTTTTATTTATTTATTTTTTTTTTAAATTTATTTATTTATTTATTTTTTTTTGGTCTGGTGCCATATAATTTCCGGTGACAAAAAAAAGGTGAAGTGATGATCAGCTGAGGGCGCTAACTCGCAAAATAAGGTGATTTTAGGTGATTTTTAACTACTTGCAAGTGATTTTGAGAGGGAACGACTGGGGGAGGGGCGCGAGTAATATTTAGAGGGGCGAACCCACTAGATACGCCGATTCGCCCAGATCCGTTCCTGACGGATGCGCGTGCCTTCAAAATTGGTTCTAAGTTCAAAGCAACTCCATGCCACATAGCATCATTCATCAGATAAATCATGCTGGATGAAAACAATATGTGCAAAAACACATCCATGATTAATTTTCTCTCTTATAACATAAACATAACTCGTAGTTAGCCTCACAGTAGGCCTATATAAACTCCACTTCCATTCTTCAGGTGGCGAGTCACTCGCTTTGAATAACAATTACATTTTTATAATGTGTGGGTGTGTGTGTGTGTGTGTGTGTGTGTGTCAGCCAACCATTTTGTTTTCTTTGAGTCGCATTATTGTTATAATAATATCGTCATTTATTATTATAATGTTGTTGATTTTTGTGCTTACAAAGCCTGCCCTCTTTCGACTTTGTCATTTTTAGCACAGATAGAAAAACCACACCTCAAACGAAAATCCGTATGCTCTTTGACGGTATCAATTGATCGGCTGAGCTGTATACGTTTGTATATTTTACTTTTGTTTAGTGAGTAGCTGTAGATAATATAAAAACATTCAGATTAGATAGCAAAAAGTCTATATTTCTATTACTTACAGTTCTTTCTAACTGAATTTTATCGTTGGTGAGATATAATATGCAACATCAATGCTCTCTTGTACTGAGGTGGAGTTGCTCAGGTCTTCATGCTTATGTTTGTTTTTTTTGTTACTTCTTCGGTATGATTTAATTTATGTTTTGCAAGTACTTTTTACTTTGTATTTTTTTTCAAGAATTGTTTAAAATTGTTTTGTAGTTATTATGGCAATGAGTCACTGAGTTCCAATCGGTAAAATAAGGCCTGCGCGGGGAATAGGCCTATATCCTACGCGCGAAAATTTAGCCTACTAACGGAAATTCGTCGGCGCATTTCGGAAAATATAATGGCCGATATTCACGCAGATTTTTCCGAAAATTAGGCCTTGACCATCTCTTGACAAAATAATGACTGCATTTTGCGATTCTGCGCCCCTTTTGCAGTGTTTATATCCACACAAATTTGAGCTATGGGATACAAAGAAGTCTAGAATGTAAAAAAGCAAAACACCCTCGATTATAACCCACTCGGACAAAACCACCCATATTAGACTATACCATTGTTAAAAAGCGGTGGCAGTAGGGTCATTTAAGTGTTTTATTTCAAAATCAAAATCAAACAATACAATAATTAAGTAGTATTGTACTTTAAATAAATAGGCCTATATATTTGATAACAGTTTTTAGAAATTAATGTGTGTAGGCCTGTCATTAAAAAATTAAAAAGGGTTAGCAAAAAGTAGACAAATAATAACTACAAACTAAGCATGCTCTACTTAATAATATCTATATAGATTCAATTCGAAATAGCTGTTATTTCATTCAAAATGTAAATTACATTAATAATAATTGGAACAATTGCAAAAAGCAGAAGAAGAGTTAACAAATTAAAAAAAAGGGTGATTAAAATGAATTAGCAGATGAGTTGGTCTTAAACTACTTCGCATATTTGGTTAGAGAAGCTATCAGCCATTTCAAATTTGATGGATAAGTTATTTTTGTTGAAAAGTCCTTTTATAAATAAAAATAAAGTTACAATACTAAAATACTAGGAAATACTATAATACAGTTAATTGATCATAAATGGTACTTTGTTAAGAGGGTTGATAATTCTGAATTTGATTATGATATGGATGATGATGATGATGATAATAATAATAATAATAATAATAATAACAACAACAACAATAATAATAATAAAAATATTATGAATAATAATAATATAAATAATAATAATATAAATAATAATAATAATCATAATAATCATAATAATAACAATAATAATATTTAAACCATGATAATTGATTT